AGAGGAGTGGGGGGAGGGGGAGAGGGGCGGGACGAGGGGGAGGGAAATGGCAGGCTGGGAGGAGGCAGGAATTTTTTTTTCAATTAAAAAAAAAAAAGAAGCAGGGCTAACGCTCTAAGCGGATAGCCAGTCTTTATCAAATGCTCGGCAAACAGCGAACGACAATACCTGCAGAGCTTCGTCCTTCTGCTGGAGCTGAGAGTCCTTCTGGCCAATGACGTCTTTCAGCTCCACCACTAATTTCTCGGCTTCAGCCAGGTGTTCCAGAGCATCATCTTGCGTGCTGTTATTCAATTCCATGCTAGATTCCTGGTGTGATTCCTGGGATTCAGACCGAAAGCAAATAAAAATAATGCCCGGGGGAAAGGCAGTGACTCCCCGCAGGGACTGCTACATCCTCACCTCAATCACTGGCCAACTCCTCTCTTTTGAAACTGAGCCCTAACTAATCCCACAGCAGTTATCCTTGCCGTTACAATATAGTGTTTTGTCTTACTTAGAGGATTTGTTTTAAAACTTCATTTATTTCTCTTATATATGAGAACTGTGTATGTATACCTGCAGGCCAGAAGAGGGCACCAGATCCTCTTACAGACGATTGTGAGCCACCACGTAGTTGCCGGAAATAGAAAACTCAGGACCTCTGGAAGAGCAGCTAGTGCTCTTAACTGCTGAGCCATCTCTGCAGCCCCAGAACTTTTATTATCCTAATTTTATCCAAGAGGAAAATAAAGGGAGGCCAGGATTACATAGTAAAAAGTGGAGGGCTGGAGATGTGGCTCAGCTGGTGGAGCAAAGGCCGCGCTTGCACAAGGCCTGGCTTCAGTACCCGGTCCTGTATCAGCTGTCATGGATGGGTAGCACACACCTCAGACCCAACACTCAGAAGGCAGAGTCTGAGAGATCAGGAGCCCAAGGTCATCTTTGGCTAGCGACAGAGCAAGTTGGAGGCCAGCCTGGGAATACCCGAGACCCTGTCTCAAACAAAACAAATTAAATTAAATAAGTTATTTGAAAATTAAAACAAAACAAAAACCCTTAAGTATTTGGTTTGCCGCTTGTCTTTGAAAAAGTTAATGGACTTCTTTTGAATCCTTAAGGGTTGGAAAATACAATGCAAACTACAAGGAAGGCAGACAGATTTATAGAAATAAACAGAGGTTTTCAAACGAAAATGGTGCTCCAGCCCCATATACTCTTTACACTTTCCCATGGAACAAGAGCTGTGTCCCTAGGAGGAGGAAGGGGAGGAGAGGGAGGAGGACGGGGAGGAGGAAGATGTTAACAATAACTTCTTAAGACAGTTTGGTACTAAACTCGCTAAGGACAACAGAGACTCATTTTTCCCAGCTCATCTACACTTGGTTTCTGTCCCCACAGCTCTCGGACTAATAGTCCTTAACAGAGGATCGTTTACAGAGTAGCAGTGTTTTCTTAAACATCACTTCTCGTGCATGAGGGGGACTGCTCACCCCCCTCTAGCCTAGGGTCTTCTCCTCAGAAGAACACACAATGGAGGTCTTGTTACTCTGGATCTGGACAAAGTCACTTACAGCTTCTAAGGGAGCTGTCATGTTCTGTTCAGCCTTATATCCTGATAATAACAAACAACATTTGTTAATCATGATAATCGGCTCAGCATCTCTGAGAGTGAAGTAGAAAAGGAAATGCAACCATCAGTAAAAAACAGGCTGCTGGAGGGTAATTAAAGCAGACAAGAGCAGCTAGACATTTGTACCCATATCACCTCTGTGAGAGCAGGGACTGTCACTGGATTCGGTGTGCAGCCAGCTGTGTGCATGGTGTAGCCACACCCTGTTCTGCTCAGGTGCCATATTGTAAGCACCATCACTAGGGTCAACTTGAATAATAAAATGCAAGAACACAATCTTTAAATACAAGTATGTCATTGTTAAGTATGTCTCAAGGGCTGTCTTTAATGCCTTATTTTTTTCATTGATAAACAAAAATCTTAAGTTTTCCTTCTCCCGGATTGATCCTTTTCTGATTTTCGATGAAACCCCAAGACTCAACAAAATTTCCCTTTTCATGTGTTCCCTGAACCCTGTTTTCGCATGTAGTTTTCCTGACAAACCATGTGGTGTCAGTGGAGAGTCACTATTCAATATGTAGTATAAAAAAATTATAGTAGCAAATCAATATCTGCTTGTTCTGCACAGAAATAGAAAATGAAACAAAAGGCAACATAACAGAGAAAAGGAGATAAAGCCTAGAGCAGAAATCAGGGAATTAAACCCATGAAACAAAGGCTGCGCTCAGAAGAGCTGCCCCCAAAGCCCCGATGCTGAGGATTCAGGGCCTGTGCACCCTTTGTAGTCACTCTGCCACTAATCCACACTCCCAGCCATCTTGATCCAGGATCAAGGAAGTAAAAGCGGTGTTACGAATACACATCGCTTCAAGCCGGGCCTCCTGGAGGCAAGAGTTCTACCATTTGGGTATACTTTCAGCCCCTGAAACTTTTGAGTTATTTTCCATTTTTCTCCCTACCTATTCCAAACCGTCTCACTTTTTCTAACAGAACATTTCCGGAACCTGACCCTTTACAGCCATTCCGACCATCCAAACCTTATCAACTCATGTTCTGGAAAGGACTCTACCCTGTTAGAAACTCCTCCGCTGTCACCGTGCTCAAATCTGGAAAGCCGTCCTTTGTGAGCTTGGAGAACTTCCAACTATCTCCCAAAGCGAACGTGTTTATTATCCATGATTTCAAATATCTGTCCCAGCCCCAAAACGGTCCTCTCTCCACAGACCAACTGCAGCGCTTTAAATAAACCAGGCAACTACTTTCTCCAATCGCCTAGGGCTCACCCTCCTGTTGGCATCCCTGCGGCGGAGCGACAAACACACCCCCACACTGCCAACCCCAGGTTTTTTCCTCCAGAACTCCCTTCGAGGTTCCTTCTCCTGCGAACACCTCTGACTCCTGGATCAACTCTTCCCTCCTCATCTTCCCAGCCCATTAGCACCAGCAGGATCACGCGTGGGCCTCCGACTGCGGCAACAGCGTCGCCCTTTGCCTAGTCTGAGTCCCGCTGCCCCCGCGGGGCACAAAGTTTGTTCGGGGCCTGAGCTCAGGGATGGGGCAGGCTCCTTCCTCGCGTCCTCGGCTGCGTGTCCAGGCTGGCTGCCACCGGCCGCTCGGACACGGGACCGTGCACGCAGGACTGGCCGGCTCGCCCGCCTCCGGGGCTCCCCCGGGGAGACACGACCCTGCCGGCCGCCTGGGTGTCTGCGCTCCCGGGCCGCGTACGGCGGCGGCGGGCACTGGACGGCCACCCAGGCTGCGCAGGTGACGGTGGCGGAGCCCCGAGGGCCGGGGCGGCCGGCTGAGCGTCGCTGCTGCCGGACGTTGGCCTAACGGAACTGTGTACCGGCCGTTACCATGGCGTCCAGCCACGTCTGTCTGTAGCCTATAGCATCACGGTGGCAGACACCGATGCCCTAAAACCTTCTGCTTCCTCAAAGTCGAACCAAGGGATTCTAGGGAGGAGAGGCATGGCGGATGATTGTGTTTTGGGCTGTGACTTGGAAGAAGATCCAAGAAGGACGAGAGGGTGGGTAGTCTGCCAAGATCAGGGGTTTGCTGTGTAGTTACGGAGTTCCGGTTTACCCTAATTCCTTACCTACTGCTAGGGACCATGGCCCAGGCTTTTGAGGAGATTTTGGACCAGGGTCACCAGCTGCTAGTATTGGGATTTGTGTGAGAACCAACCCGGAGTAGGACCTGAAACTTGGTTTAGTATGGCTTTTTAGCTTTGTGATGAAAAAAATGAGAGCCAGAGATACGGCTAGTCAAAGATAACAGCAATTTGGCAAAGGTCGGACTACAACCTGATGTCGCAAGGCATCCTTTGCTGGTATCGCTCAGGATGAGAGTGTAAGAGACAGTGACCAGTTGGGAAGTGGCGCTTCAGCTGGGATAGCAGACAGAGATTTAAGGGCTCAGGCGCTGGGAAGAGTCAGTGAAGAACTCCAACAAGAGACAGAGAGCACTCAGTGCTCCTTCACCCTAAAAGGCCGGCCGGCGGCGGAGGGGGCAGACACCTAGC